GTGGTCAGTAATTCAGGATAGACATAAGGAAACGGGACCTATTATAAAGCAGCTTTATTCAAAGCCAGTTGGTTGGGTGGGTGGTTTTCTTCCCATTTTACAGACAAATATTACATCTTTCCCCCTTTTTTCAGACTACATAATGCTGTACAAATGAAACAAAAAGATAAGCAGACCATTGGCCAATTGGAGAAAAAACTAAAAGCAGAGCAAGAGGCACGAACCTTTGTAGAAAAGCAGTTGATGGAAGAAAAAAAAAGGAAGAAGTTGGAGGAAGCAACAGCTGCTCGGGCTGTTGCATTTGCCGCTGCTACCAGGTACTTGGTTCCCGCTGCTTCATTTCTTCTAGACCAGTGTTTTTCAACCCTGGCAACTTTCACATGTATTTAAGATGTATAATGTATGTAAGATGTATGAACTTTAAGATGTATGAAATTCCCAGAATTTCCCAGCAGCAGAGCTGAAGTCCACGCATCTTAAAGTTGCCAAGTTTGAAAAACACTGGTCTAGGCCCAAAGATGTGAAAGGAAAGAATGGTGAAAAAAGAGTTAGTAATTTGTCAAACATTTGCCAAAAAGTCATTAACAGTAAGAAACACTCACCGTCCCACCTTTCTTCAATTAATATTTTGACCACCTGTCATGATCAAATTAGCCAGTTATATACAAGTTCAGGAAAAACACCACTAAGTGGTTGAAAAACTGATGACTGTGTTTCAGAATTGCAAATTTCCCGATCATATTTGTCTTTATTCACCATTTACAATAATTCGGTAATTTTTTTAAAGGAAGCATTCAGTTACATGATATAGGACCAAGGTTTTGTGATGTTTCATGCAATTCATTTGTATCTGATTTATGATGTATACAAGTGTTTATGCAATAATATAAAAATTACATTCCAAGAAAATAACATTCTGGCTTATAGCATTTCAGGCTGCATGTTGGGTTTATATTTGGGGGGGGTCTCTACTGTGAAAGAATAAAACTACTTTGAGTTAATAAAATAGTAACACTCAGCTGATGTGACCTTTCTGACACGTTAGTCTTTTGTGTGCTCAGAGCATGTCTTCTCAGGGAGCCTCCAAATGTGCAAAGTCCTACAGAATCTGAAGTTGAACTGTCCAGAACATGTTTTATTACAATATAGGAGAGCTTATAAACTTACTCTCGTATTAATGACAGAGATTGGATGAATCCAGAGTGGGTATGCAAATGATTTAATCTGAACATATCTGATGCAGAGTTTTTTCAGTCACTGGTGAAATGTGAAAAAAAATACATGTGCACATTTAGAGTCTTCCTTTGCAGCATTTTCTATCCCAGAACTTAAAAGAAACTGAGAAGGGAAGTTTACAAGCATTGGATAAATGCATGCAAAAATTCCCCTTCTCCTGTTCTTCAGAGAACAGTTTCTGATTTTTAGGGAACAAAACCTCATTTTAGAAGCCTACAGCTGCAAAGAGGGTTATATGGTTCACAATCATGTTTTGTTTTGCACTGCTGTATTATAAAAAGAGCCTATACAACTGCGTCCTTTTCTCCACACGTCTTGCTATTTTAATGCTTATGAAAGTAGCAGTAACCCAAACTGAAAGTTTTCCCTCTTCTGTCTTTCTCATTTTGCTTGATAGAGGAGAATGCACTGAGACATTACGAAATCGCATCAGAGACCTGGAGACAGAGTGCAAAAAGCTAACTATTGATATAAAGCTGAAAGAAGATCAGATACGAGATCTAGAAATGAAAGTTCAGGTAAGGGGAAAGTAACAAAACTTTCTATGACGCTGTCTCTCAGCCAATATTCCAGGGTTACCTTGTAAATTTAGTAAAACATTTGCTAAGTGCAAGGTTTTTGGCATGAAAGGTATACACAGAGCTACACTTTCTTCTGTTATTCTAAATCAGCTTCTTCAGGTGGGCTACAGTTCCATCATTCCAGTGAGATTGGTCATGCTGGAAATGATGGAAGCTATAGTCAACAGATTCGCAGGGTGCCAGTCTGGGGAAGAGAGATTTAATCTGAAAGCTGTTTTTTCTTTGCATTGCCCTTTCCTGCAGGAATATGTGCTTACCTGAGAAACATCTCTTAACACACACACACCCTTGTTTGAGTAGTAACAATCTGCAAATGAGGTCTAATGAATTTCCTTAAAGTTCTGATTAATTTAAAAATTAATCCAGTCCAGAAAGTTTTATTGATACATGTTCCAAAAATAAAGGTTAAGTTCACAAAATATGTTTAGCCAAAACAAAGAAACTACATCCTGCTTTATCATGATGGGTGAACCTTGCCTAAGTAGATAGCTTGGTGGGAGCAAGCTATCTACTAGAGTTGACACCATAATTGTGGAAGAATGTGTAAACTGTGCTTAAGAAAAACAAAAACTTTACAAATATTTTCAGATTCTGGAGCCCATAGTTTATAAGCCTTATGACAGTTTCACATTTTTGATGAGGCAGCATTTCCAGGGGAGAATGAGGGAGGGAAGGTTAACAATTTACCTTATTTACTGAGGACTGTGAAAACAAAACAAGCAAAGTGTTAAGTTAGGGAGCAGGGAGACTCAGGTTGTAGTCCTCCCTTAGGAGCAGAAGCTGGCTGGGTGATCTTGACCCACTCATTCCTTCTCAGCCCAAATCAGCATCAGGATCTGTGACAAGCTGGCTGAGAAACAAAACCCCTTGTTGCATCTTGCATTGATAGCTTTGTTGTAAGAACTAGGCGAGTGCAATGCAAGAACAAACGGACTGTGGGAGACCAACTGGGGATTGTGAATGTTGTCCAGCAGATCTGGATGACACTAGGTTGGAACAGGCAGCTATTAAGCGTACTTGAACAAATAGTCGTCATATTTACTTTCCCGGTCATTAAAAAAAAAGTCCACTTTATTCAGAGTCTTCAATTTAAACAGAATTGCCGGGGGGGGGGGTCTATAACTGTTTTTGGAATCCTTTTTTCGTTTGTATTTTGTTGAGAATTTAACATCCTATAAATTTCCAGTGAAATATCTTTACTTTTTGAAAGTTCTCCTTATGTCCCATAGTAGAACCAGTCAAGCTAGCTTTCCTAGGGCCCATGTAGGAGGGAAATCATAATAGCCACCATCATGAATGATTTTGAAGTGAGATTAAAGACATTTCTGGACAATAAGGCTACTAACCATGTTGATATGCTAACCGTAGAATTTACCTGAATAATATTTTTTGGGAAACATGCATCGAGGGCTCTGCTTATCTCCCCCATGTAGGCTTCTCAGAGGCATTCTAGTTGTCCACTGTGGGTGACAAGATGTGGTCTGAATGAGCAGGATTTTTATGTTTTTACTGTAACACAGAACCTGAGAAACACAGATCAATGTGTGCCTTGTGAACTATAGGCTAATACATTTGCCCACCCAAAGCCAACATCTGGTGCTTTAACATTGCTATTGATGTTTCAGTGGTAACTAGAGGAATATATCATAATCTTTTCAAAGCCCTTACAAAGAGTAGGCAAAGAAATAATATTACTACACCTACACATTTCCATTTCCAAGCCATCTAAGTTACTTTTGTATTCAAATATGGCCTAAATGTGAGCGTGTGTAAAGCTGGACTCCTGGTGACTACACAGATGTTGTTTTCTTGGCAACAGTATAATTGTGGTTTGCACTTGCCTTCTTTTCTAAGATTTTGTTTACCTTTCCAATCTAGTCTGTAACCCTGATTAACCTTTTCAGGATTTATCTGACTATATCAAATAACATGCTAGTTTCCAAGTCAAGGTATTCCCAAGTGACCAGAGCCCACGTGTTTCCCCAGTTTTTTCCCCTCAGTCCATAATTTCTTCTCTCCCTTGAATCTCATAATAATGACTATGTTTGTAACAATCCTGCTTTAATTCATTTGAAAGGAATTGCGGAAATACAAGGAGAATGAAAAGGATACAGAGGTATTAATGTCGGCCCTTTCAGCCATGCAGGATAAGACGCAGCACTTAGAGAACAGCCTGAGTGCAGAGACAAGGATCAAACTGGACCTGTTCTCTGCATTAGGAGATGCAAAAAGACAGCTTGAGATAGCCCAAGGTAAGTGAGTCCCTGGGCTGAGTGGTAGTAAATCTGGGGGTGCCTTTGGTGCACGCTAAGACCCAAAGTACAGGTAGTCCTCATTTAGCGACCACGATTGAGGCCAGCAACTCGGTTGTTAAGCAAAGCAGTCACTAAGTGAAACCACAACTGTGCTTACAATCTTACTTCAGCTTTCCTTTGCTTTACCGACCTGCGAAGGTTGTAAATGCAAGGATTTTCATCACCATTGTAACTGTGAATAGTCACTAAATGAGTCAGTCTTAAAATGGGGACTACCTGTAATCCATGTGCAAACTTCCATCACACTTTGAATATCACAGTGTGATACATGATGGCATTTCCTTGTGTTTTCAAAGCCTGTTCTGGAAAGTTTTCATTGGGAAAAATTGGCAAGGAAAGATCCCTGTGCACGTGGCCCTTTGGCTCTTGATTGCTGAAAATAACTTTGAAATTGCCCCTGATAGGATATATGGAACTCTCACAGCAACCTTTCCTGACCATTTTCTCTCATCTACTTAGAACCCTTTTTTTTCCTCTGTTTAACATTTTTTTGAGCATTTGGCTCAAGGAGAAATCTCTCATCATCAGTGTTTCTCAACCTTGACAACTTGAAGATGTGTGGACCAACTCCCAGAATTCCCCAGCCAGCCATGCTCATTGTGCTGCATTTTTCTGTACACAAACCTCAGTAGCTGCCCAGTGCTGGTGTAGGGTTTAGTTGTAACTGACAATAACTCAGTGGTTCATCTAATTATCTTTTGTTACGAAAGTCAACCATAATCATGAGAGTGTCAGTTAAAACTGGGTAGAGTATGGACAGTTGGTTTGGAAAATTGAAAATAGTGGCGGTGCTTTTTCTGAAGGGAAATGAGATGGCCAGATAATCCTAATCAAATTAAGCATCCCTTGCTATAAAGGTGGGCAACAGTAACCAAAGAGAGCTCCCTCTTAGCCCATTTTTGCAGCCCCTCATAGTCTCCAACACTGTACAGACAGTCCTCTACTTACGAACAGGTTACGTTCCAAGAGGCTGTTCATAAGTCCATTCTGTTCATAAGTCCAACCAAGTATGAAACGCTCAGCCTCCCAACGTGCGATGGTGCTGCCAAGCGTATGTATGCGGTGTGCCATAAACTAACCCTTTCCTGTATTGTCGAAGGCTTTCACGGCCGGCATACGATGGCTGGTGTGGGTCTTCCGGGCTGTGTGGCCGTGGTCTGAAGCCAGCCACTCAGTAACCCAACCCCACCCACACACCCCCAATCCCCCCCTTCCTGCCCCCCCCCACAGATCTCTATAAA